TTTTAAGCAACAATAGATTTTATACCAAAAGAAAAATCAAATAATATACGATAGATACAATGAGACTACTATTAAGTAAGATACAAGGAACACCATGCCCGGTGCACTGAGACTATCCCCAAAATGAAACATTTCAAATAACTAATTTTGGCATAGCTTGACGCCATGAAGATCAAGATAGCTATTTGTAATGAGTTGGCTATTTCTAAGAGCAGCAGCAACAAAAAAGGTGAATCTGCCACTGAACCGAGGACCTAGCAGATGCACCACTACTAGCACAAAATAAGAGGAAAGTAACTAAACAACAACAACTAAACCAACCACTAAGACTAAACAAAAACGAACAAATAATGACAAGGACTACAGCTGGTAAACCAAGCCTAAGAGCCACTGAACTCCATCCATGCTGATGCTGCTGTTTGAACAATGGTGATTTCAGGAAGCCAGTAGTTCTAGAAGACCCAAAGGTTACGGGCCTTCCAAAGCCACCAAAAGAGGTACATGGTGATCTGAATTCTCTGATCAGCCATGGCATTTAGCTTGAGTGAGCTGAGTTTGATCCACCATTGTTTGAAGCTATGGTTGCAGTCATCAAGTCCATCCCAGTGAACTGAAGTCAGCTTCTATACTCTCTTCGATTTAGCACAGTGAAACAAGAGGTGCTTAATAGTTTCATTGTCTTCACCACAAAGCTTATAGATAGGATCAAAGGCTTTTAGTCTCTGACTGAGAGCTTTTTTTACTGCCAGGGAGTTATTGAAGCATTTCCAGACAAAATGCTTTAACTTCTCTGCAACTTTTATTGACCAAATCTTGTTACTTGCCCTTTGACTGGCATAAGCTTGAGAGATGCATCCTGGGATGTCCAATTTTTTCCACTTCTCTTCAACCAAGGTCTTATAGCCTTCAGCCACTGTTAAATTACCTGATTTGCTGTGTAGCCATAAGAGCATGTCCATTGAGTTAGGATCCATTCCTTTGATGTTAAGTATGGCATCACTTTCTTCAGTGGGAAAAGCTGATCTCACCATTTCAACACTCCATCTTTTTCCAGTGTCATCACACAGCTCCTGCACCTATGTGATTCTGTTTTGCCAAGGGTTGAGAGGTTTAGGTTTGTGTGATGGTAGGGAGGGTATCCAGGATTGGTTCTAGATGTTTATGTTTGCTCCACTGTTGACCCTGAACATCACATTTTGGGTAAAGAAAGTTTTGGTTCTTCTCCAGCTGGCCCAGAGCCAAGATACATTGGTTTGCTTCTTAGCTGAGAGGAGGAGTTGGGATAGTATTTTGCTTTGAGTACTCTGCTGACCAAAAGCTCAGGGTGATTGTGTAGTCTCCATAGTTGTTTGGTAATTATGGCTTAGTTCATGAGGTGTATGTCATGGAACCCCAGACCACCTTTCTCTTTTGGAAGGGTGATAAGATACTAGGCTTTCCAGTGGATCCCTTTAGAGCCTTCATTCTTGTTCTTCCACCAGAAGTCAGCAAAGTGTTTGGCAACTTTGGCACATATAGTTTTGGGGAGGATGAAACATGCCATAGCATAGAGAGGCAAGGTTTCCAGCACATCTTTTAGGAGATTTCCTTACCTGCAAGGGATAAAAAGTTGTTTTGCCAATTGGGCAATCTTTTTAGGACTGCTGCTTCTATGTAGGCAAAGGTTTCCAGTTTAGATTTCCCAATACCTAGTGGGAGTCTTAGGTATCTTGAGTAATTTTGGGGCTGAATGCCCATGAGAATGTTGCAGATTTGGCTTTTAACATGGGAGGGGGAGGGGAGGTTTGTTTCTGCTGAAGAAGATGGATGGTTTTTGGAGGTTGACACATTGCCCTGTGATGGCATTATACTGGTGTTGACACTAAAATTTGCATCATCTACTGTATTGACGCCACGTGTAATATTAAAAGGGATTAAAGAAAATTCGAGGTGAAGGAACCGACTTGTTAAACGAGCGAGCCGACTCGGTGAAGGGATCGACTTCGGCAAACATAGGGTACCGGAGAGCCAACGTCAATGACTACGAACCGCATTAAATGACTGTTAATCAGACGTCTCGGCCCACGTGAAAAACATCATTGCCAGGGGGCCTACCTGCCATAAAGCCGAACCTAGGCTGTCACAGCGCATTAAATGTCGCCGAATCTCCTCAAAAGATGGGCCGATAGTTATTATAAATAGCATAATTAAATTAGATACGAGGATCCTCTCTCGACACATTTATTATAGCATTAATCATCTCGGTTTCGCTTAAATACCGACTTCATGTATTGAAGCTCGACCTCCGAATATAAATTCCAACATCAAATTTCATCAATAAAATCACCTTTCTGCACTCTTAATTAGCAATATTATCTTTAATTAGTTGGTTAAATCCATTTATCAACAGTTTGGCGCTATAGAAAGGGCCTCATAAGATATTTGGGGCTAATCTTCGAATCCAGCTCACTCAAAAGAACCAAAAACACCCAATCATCACTCAAACTCGATCTGATAGCCATGGCTCAGTCGGGACAAGATGATCAGTCATCCAGGGGTGGGGCCAGCCCTGGCCCAATCCCATCCACCAGTATAACCAACCCCGCAACGATACCGGACCTCCCCACACTCAACCAGAACCCGGAGTTTGCAAAAGGGTTCTCTGCTCTGCTGGCATAAACCATGCCTGGAACATCTAGGGTCATGCCAAGACAATCCCTCGCACATATCACTCCTGCTAGGCCCAGGGCACTGTCGGCGCAGGGAGGCGCGAACAACCAAACTTCGTCCCATGCGACATCCCAACCGCGAGATGATAACCTCCGTCGACCATCGACCAGGACGGTGAACCCTCATGAGGACAATGCGCAAGAAATGCCAGCGGAAAGCCAATCCGAACACACCAAAAGAGACGCCGTCGTCGCTAGACCCTTATTTTAGCAAATTAGAAACTCAGCCAACCTCCGACATCAAATAGAGAGAGGTCGATCGGCCAGACCTGACAACCCAGAGATTGTAGCTCTGAGAAAGAGAGTGTGAGCTTGAAACCCGACAAGATGCGCGAGCGAGGTCGTCGCCGAACCCTCGCACCCACGAACCAGACCATGTATACCTAGAGGGGGACTTGCCACTGGCGCCTGATTTGACCTCTGAGCCTCTGCCTGGAAAAGTCAAAGTCTTGAACATTGGCCTCTATGACGGAACTTCAGACCCAGATGCCCATCTCGGCCATTACACATCTTGGATGGACTTACATAGAGCCACAGACGCTCTGGGATGCCGCATGTTTTCCTTAACCCTGGGTCCGAAAGCCTTGAAATGGTACTACTCCCTGCCGGTCCATCCCATCCGACGTTGGGGCCAACTCAAGCCGGCCTTTCGCTCTCACTTCATCGGATCGCAAGTCTGCTTAATCCCCAAGGTGTCAATAACGAACATTGTCCCAAAAGATGATGAAAGTCTGATGGAGTACAAAGCCCGCTTCACTGAACGCGTACAGAACATAGAACCATGCCACCCCGAGACACTCCTCGTATCAGCAATCCGGGTTGAAGCCTAAATCGATGTTGAGATGGGCGCTTTGCCCGAACAAACCTAGCACGTTCCAAGAGGTTCTGGTCCGAGCTCAGAACCACGTGGTCGCAGATGAGTCCATGTCGGTACCTGACCTCACGTTCACTGCACAAGGACAGAAACCGACGTTGGAGGAGAAGAAGAAAAAGAAACACTTCGGCAACTCGTCAAAGAAAGCACTTTTCAATCCGTGGTCGGGCGATCCCAATGACCCCGAGGTACGAGCCGCTTGAAAGCAGTATAAAGAAGATTTAACCGTGGGATACTACTCCATTTACTCGGTCGGGGCTGCCACAATATACGAAGAGATAAAAGGCAAAGGGATCATTCCTGAGGCACGACCTGTAAAAACTCCAGAAAATCAATTGGACAAGACACGATACTGCGATTACCACAGGTCGCCCGGACACAAAACCGACGAGTGACTCAGTCTGCTGTTAGCCTTGATGAAGCTCATCGGCAACCCACAAGTCAGGAAGTTCACAAAGGCCAACGATGCTAAAGGGAGGCGAAGGCCAGTCGAAATTCCAGACGAAGGCGAGGGAGGTGAAGGAGCACACCACACCAAAAGACTCCGACAGCAAGGAGATAAGGAAATCTACATGCTTAGCCGTGCCGACGCCTGCACACCTCATAACCGACTCGGGAAGTGAAGCAGTGAAACCAAGTTCCTGAGCCTGTGTAGCCAGACACCGCCGACCTTAGGTCGGCCAAGTCCAATTTCTCGAGTTAATACCAACAGAGACGAACCGACCTCCTCTAGGACACAAGCCAAGGAATATGAAATAATGGCTTATAACTCGGGAAAGCAAGTGACGACCTCCAATCTTCAGGAAACCATAAACACCCGCACCTGCCCCATCACTTTCACTCTTGAAGATGCGAGCTTGTTTGATCACCCGCATTTAGACGCCATTATCACCACGGCTCCTATCTGCAGTCCACCGAATCATGGTAGACACAAGGGCGTACTCGAGCATACTCATGCTCCAAGCATTCAACAAGCTCAGAATAGATCCGACCAAAGTCCATTCGTGTAACGACCGAGTTCACAGCTTCAACGGGAGCGTGACACTCCCATTGGGCGAGATCACCCTCCCAATTAGGTTCGGTGGACATGGGCAGACATCTAAAGTCATTATGGAAACATTCAAAGTGATGGACCTGGACAACGAATACAATGCGATCCTAGGGAGGACAACCTTGTATAAGCTCCGAGCTGTCGTCTCAATTTTTCACTATGCCATAAAGTTCAACACCGCGGATGGAGAAGGTACCCACTATGGGGAACAGAGGTAAGACAGAGAATTATTCTTAGAGATCCCCTCACGAGAAATCCATATGGCAGAAGAATCCGATGTTAGGCCAGAGGATGACCGAGGTCTCCAAGCAGTCGAACAGCCACCAACAATGCCCCACCCAGGGCCCGACATGACTCCAAACGAGAGCAACGCAGAAGCAGTCGAGATCATTCCTCCAGAATCAATCCCGATAACGGACGAAAACGACAAAACACAAGATCGAGGGAGAAGACCCAGGAAGGAGCAGATCAAAGAAGGAGACATCCTCGACCCCAGGGCTCTGTTCAAGGAAAAGAAAGGGGAAAACCGAGATGAGTCCTCTGAGGAAGTGGAGATTGTTTATGTCGATGAGCCGACATGCAATAAACAGATCCGCATAAGAGCAAACTTACCAGAACCTATTCAAACCGAACTCGTGGAGTTCCTACGCACTAACGGTGATGTCTTCGCTTGGAGACATGAGGACATGAAGAGAATCGACCCAGCTGTCGCCTGCCACTAACTTAACATAGATAAAACTGTTAAGCTCGTCATTCAGAAAAGGAGGAAGCTCGGTCCAGACCGACAACAAGCTCTGGAGGAAGAAGTGGGCAAACTTGTCGGCAACAAGTTTGTCAAAGAAACAAAGTACCCTACATGGGTATCTAACCCAGTTTTGGTGAAGAAGGCCAACGATTCATGGCGCCTATGCATAGATTTCTCCGACCTCAACAAGGGGTGTCCAAAAGACAGTTATCCATAACACCAATATCGATTACATGGTGGACGCAACCTCGGGCCACGAACTCATGAGTTTCATGGACGCATACTCTGGTTATAACCAGATCCTGATGGACCCTGAGGAGGCGGAACACACTTCGTTCTACTCGGCGCGGGGACTCTACTGCTACACCATGATGCCGTCTGGGTTAAAGAACACTGAGGCCACGTACCAGAGGTTGGTGAACAAAATGTTCTCTAAGCTGATAGGGCAAACAATGGAAGTGTATGTTGATGACATGCTTGTAAAATCAGTGCACACACACGATCATTCATCCCATATAATTGAAATGTTTAAGGTTTTGCGTGATTACTCAATGGTGTTGAACCCGAAAAATTGTACAATTGGAGTGAGGTCGGGAAAATTCTTAGGTTACTTAGTTAGCCAAATGGGGATAGAGGCGAACCCCGCCAAGATC